CAGCACAACTGAGAGTGGTTCAAGTTCCTGGAAGGATTCTGACCCCACAGGTCAGGAATTTTCCAGTATGTGAAGTTATTTGGATTCTCAGCCTGGAGTGGGAGATCCAGCTCCAATTTCCTTGTCCTGCCCTCAGCTGTAGCTCCCAAGATCCTGCAGCACCAGAGCTGCTCCTGCCTTTTTTATGGGATTTGGGGAAGGGAAGTTTTTTATGAATTTGTGTGAAGGAGTTTTATTGCTAATTTTGGGAAGGGAGGTTTATTCCTAATTTTGGGAAGGGAAGTTTATTCCTAGTTTTGGGAAGGGAGGGTTATTCCTAATTTTGGGAAGGGAGGGTTATTCCTGCTCAGGGCTGGTGGCAGCTCTGCATCTTGGGGTGCTTTTCATCCTCGAAAATAATGAATGGAGCAATCCCACTGGGAATTCCAGGTTAATTGTGGAGATTTCGTTGTTATTCCAGGGCCTGCTGAGATCAGGGATTTACAGATTCCCGTTGTTCAATGATCTGATTTAACCCTGACAAGAAACTTGCTTATAAAGTCACATTTTCTGCTGTTTTTGTTGGTGACAGAAGAAAATGCTGATGCCGTGGAATTTGTGGAGTCTGGGAGAGTGAGGTTGGAAAAGCAGGGGATTTTGGATGTGGAATTTCATGGCTGTTCCTGGTTGATTTATTGTGCCCCTTCTCATGGCTTTGCAGAAACAAAGAGGTTTGGTTTGGGGAAAAAAAGGAAAGGAAAAGACCAAAGAGATTTTTTTCCTTCCCTTCAGAATTTCTTGGAACTCCCCGAACTTTTTTCCCTGCAGTGCCTCTTCTGAACTCCTTGGACTGGGATTTATGGAAAAATATTGAGTTGAGGTGTGTGCTCTGCTCAGTTCTGTGGGAATTGGAGTTTGCTGGAGCAGGTTGGGATGATGGATGATCCAGGTTGGGATAATGGGTGATCCAGTTGGGATAATGGATGATCTAGGCTGGGATAATGGGTGATCCAAATTGGGATAATGGGTGATCCAGTTGGGATA